TATTTAAGAATACTAGTTAGCGGCTTCCTTAGTAGTCCAGTGAAGAGTCCACCTTGCATTGCAGGGGAGCACTGGTCAGATCCCTGGTCCTAGAGGACCCCACATATGGGAGCAACTAAGCCCATGTGCCACAGCTACTGAGCTCATGGTCTGCAACTACTGAAGCTCCCATGCCCTGGAGCCTGTGCTCTGCGACAAGAGAAACCTCTGCAGTGAGAGGTTCATGCACCACAACTAGAGAGAAGCCCCTCTCACCACAACCAGGGAAAACCCACATGCAACAATGAAGACCCAGCACAGCCCAACATAAAAAGAAATAAAATGTTTTTTAAAAGAATAATGGCTAAAGTCAAATTATAGACACCATTATGCTAAGGATTTCTCAATCTCAGCACGATTGATATTTGGCCTGGATAATATGTTGCTGTGAAAAGGCAACCTGTGCATGGTAGTATTTTTGAGAGCATCTCTGACCTCAATTCACTAGATGCCAGGAGCAACACCCTTTGCCAATCTCTCCCCACCTCTTTATCTCTGCTGTGAAACTTATGTTTCCACTGTACTGAAAAGGTTTAAATGTATAAAAGAAAAATAAAATTTTAAAAAAATCAAGAATAATTTTGTGCTCTTAGCATAGCAAAAATCTCTTACGCAAGACACAAAAAGAGAACTCTGTAAAGAAAAAGGATATAAATTTGACTACATTAAAATGAAAAATGTCTGTTCATCAAAAACTGTCCCAAAGAAAATACAAGTCACAGACTGAGGGAAATAAGTTTTCAACACGTATAACTGCCAAAGGAATAGCATTTAGAATATATAAATTATATGCATCAAAAAGAAAACCATAAATGGTACAATTCTTAATGGACAGAACAGCAGATACTTGACAGAAGAAGAAAGTCCAAAAGCCCAACTAATAAACGAGAAAATTCTCAATCTTAGTAAAATGGAAATGTAAGTTAAAACTGCAGTTATTCACCATTTCATATCCACCTGGCTGCCAAAATTTCAAAAGTTTCATATTATCAGATATTGTGACAGATGTAGAACAACTTTTGGAATGTAAATTGATATAATTTTTTGGAAAACAACCTGACACTACTACCTAATAATTTGAAAATGTGTACACCCTACAATCATGCAAGTCTGCTCCTAGGTATATACCGAGTGTCTTAGTCTGCTCAGATTGCCATAACAATATCATAGACTGGGTGGCTGGAACAACAGAAATTTGTTTCTTACAGTTCTGGAGGCTGAGAAATCCAAGTTCAAGGTGCCAGAAGATTGGAGTCTAGGGAGACCTTCCTTCCTGCTGTGCATACCTGCGACCTTGCTGTGTCCTCACATAGCCTTTCCTCTCTCTCTCTCTTCCTCTTCTTATAAGGTGACCAGTCCTATCAGGTTAAGATCACACCCTAATGACCCACTTAATCTTAATTACCTCCTAGATGCTCTATCTTCAAATACTGTCACATTGGGTGTTGAGACTTCAACATGTGAATTTGAGAGATAGAATTCAGTCCTACCTAGAGAATGTTTTGCATATGTCCATCAGTTGACATGTACAATACTCACAGCTAAGACAACTGCCTGGAAAAATCATAGCTCAGCTAATTTGCTCGTCACTAGACATATAAAGAAGTTGCTGTAGACCATACAATCCAGCTGAGCTGACCCAGACCAAAAGTACCATACCAGCAGTCCTATAAAAGCACAAAAATAAATGAAATTGTGAGGTTTTTTTTTTTGAGTCACAAAGTTCTAGGTTTTATTGTTATGAAGAAAAGTTAACTATAATAGTAGACCAGCTATTCTAAATGTCTCTAGATTTATATGTACTTCAAATTTATCCAGATTGAATCAAATGAACACAAGGTTGTTATATGCATGTGTGCATTTTCCATCTTATTTATTATTTTTTCACCCCACCAACTACACCTATTCTCCAGCTGATGGGGTGAAAAAGTGAGACAAAATCCATTAGAAATCTAAACTGCCCAAGGTGAAAATAGTAGTTGAAGGTAATGATATTAGTATATTTCACAAGACATTGAATTAGTAGCTAAATAGTATATAAAATAAATGATAAGAAAAGCATTTAGGCTCAAATTATTAGGAAAGTTATCAATGAAGAGGTAGAATACAACTATTTAGGTTATTTATCCTGTAATATTTTATTCACTCAAGATTTGTCATTCAGGTGGACATTAATCTGTATCTTAAAGCAAATTTCAATTTGAGGATTGTTATATGTTAAGCATCATATTAAGAGATGATTAGAATATGACTGAGACCCATTCCTTGTCATTAATAAAGACAGACACACAAAGAATAATAAATAATAATAATTTTTAAAATAAATAATAAAATAGAGATATAGAAAAGGATATAAAGGAAAATGCAACAGCATAGATGTGAGATAATTTGCTTGTTTGCAGGTCTATGGAATCTTTCTTGGAGAGTTTTCCTGAAGGGAGAGAAAGAGTTAGCTAAACAAATATATTCTGGAAGAAGTACTCACAAACAAAAACCAGATATATGAAATAACACATTACATACATATTATTTATAGTAGGCTATTTATCATTCAATGAATATTGTATACCTTCTATATGTAATCACTCCACTAGAGAACACAGTAAGGTATAAAATAGAAATGTGAGAAAATAATTCATTACTAGTAGATACAGTCACACAATAAAGAAGTTAACAATCTTTAAAACTTTAAAAAAATTAAAAGTTATAAAAAACACTATCAAGAGAGAATAGAGTGCTATTCCAAGTCTAATAAGAAGCGAAGGAAGTATTTTTAACCATAGGAATAGCATGATTTAATTTACAAATTCAGTACTTTAGACTTTCTAAAATAAAAATCACACATGAGAATATTCAAATACATACAGGAGAGGAAAAGAAGGTTTATAGGTCAGGCTCAGTACCACCTTGGACTTCGTTTTGAAAGGAAAGAAATGTCATTGAAGAGTTTTAAGTCTATGGACTGCATGACCAAATTCATATGAAAGATCTATCGAAGTTTCAGTATGGATCAGAAAATAGTGTAGATGGATGAAGGGTAATATTGGAAAAGGGAGTCAGCAGAGGACTCTAGCTGCATCCAAGCAAGAAAAGGTGAAGGCTTGATAATCATGAATTTCCTGTTACACCAAAAGGACTATCATTAGAGAATATAGATTGAGTACATGAGCAATAAGACTTCCATGATGGCTCAGTGATAAAGAAGCTTCCTGCCAGTGCAGGAGACACAGTTCTAATCCTGGACCAGAAATATCCCCTGGAGGGGAGCATGGCAACCCACTCCATTATTCTTGCCTGGAAAATCCCATGGACAGAGAAGCCTGGTGGGCTATTGTCCATAGCATCACAAAAGAGTTGGACATGACTTAGCAACTAAAACAGCAACATGAGGAGTAAGGTTTAGCACACCAGCCCAGGTTGGATGCATGAGACAAGTGCTCGGGGCTGGTGCACTGGGAAGACCCAGAGGGATGGGATGGAGAGGGAGGGGGGAGGGGGGATTGGGATGGGGAATACATGTAAATCCATGGCTGATTCATGTCAATGTATGGCAAAAACCACTACAATATTGTTAAGTAATTAGTCTCCAACTAATAAAAAAAAAAGGAAAAAAAAAAAGAAGTTTTAGAATTATCACTGAAGGAAAGAAGAGATGGAGTTGATCAAGGGTACACAAGAGGATTGTTGATGGCCTTTCATTGGCACAGAAGATGATATATTTTTCATAATTGTATAGCTGGCATCTGATAATTTGTCTGTCTAGCACTTCTCAGCCTTTCTTCTAGGAAAATGTCCCCCTTCTAGAAAAACTCCCAGCCCCCACACTCAACATATATGTGTGAGCTTCAATGCTTTTAAATTACTCTTCCTCTTTGGCTGCAGTGAGTCAACTGTGAGTGGATATTTTTCTCAACCTCAAGACCTGAACAATTAGTGATAACTAACACATTGATGCTTTTGAATAACACTTATGGAGTGGTTCCGGAGAAGACTCTTGAGAGGCCCTTGGATAGCAAGGAGATCAAACCAGTCAAACCAAAAGGGTATCAACCCTGAATATTCATTGGAAGGACTGATACTAAAACTGAAGCTCTGATACTTTGGTTACCTGATGGGAAGAGCTGACTCACTGGAAAAGACCCTGACGCTGAGAAAGATTGAGGGCAGAAGGAGAAGGGGACGACAGAGGATGAGATGTTGGATGGCATCTCAGACTCAATGGACATGAGTTTGAGCAAGCTCCAGGAGATAGTGAAGGACAGGGAAGCCTGGTGGGCTGCAGTCCATGGGGTCATAAACAGTCACTATTATTTAGCCACTAAACAACAGGCACTACAAAGTTTTTTTAAGCTAACTTATTTAATTGTCATAAAAATGCAGTGAAGAAGGTACAGCTGTTATCTCCTTTTGTTCAGATAAGAAAATTGAGGCACAGGATGTAAACTGGTCCTGGGTCACACACAGACTGGGTTTTGAATTCAACTGTGTTCCTTTACACCCCCTACATTCTTACCCACTATCTAATACTGCCTCTGACAAGTTCCTTCATCCAGAATATAACTTCTCCAAGGAGATCCAATCAGAGCCCTGTCGTGGATTTCTGACCTTAGGGATCAGGAAAGCCAAACTCAGTCCATCCTCTGGTAGTGGATCAGAGGCACTCGGCATGGTGACCACTTAGGCACCATGAGTTCAGCTACGTGGAAGAAGCCAGACTGAGAAACCGAGAAAGCCATCTAGAAAAAAATGTGTCTTTAGTGATCAGACGTGCTATGAGGTGGGATTTTCTTCCCTGGCTGTATTCATCTCTGAGACCAACTGGAGCCCTGACCTCCTATTAACATGATGTGAGCTTATTCAACACCCTTTCTGGATAAACTAGCTTAAAATGAAAGCTGGCATCTAAGAGTCATGAGTAATTAAGGATACCAATCTGCATAGCAGTGGGAGCATCTTTAGCAATGCTCGGTCATCCAGAGGGACAGCAGATTGCTGTGAGTCCTGGCTGGGGACTCACCAGACAGTTGTGTGTGCGGAAGCCGGAGATGCAAGTAAGTTGAGCATGTGAAAGACAGGTGAGAAAATAAGTGAGATTCAGAAGAGAGTGTATTGTAATGGGGGAGAAAGCAGGCCCTGGGGTAGACTGGACAAGTAATTCAACCTCTCAAGCCTCAATGTCCTTAGGTTTTCTTTGGGATAATAGTAATCGTCTACCAGTCTCATGTACTGCAAGGATTAAATAATTTATATAAAATGTTTACCAGAGTGCCAGGCTATAGTAATCTCTCCATAAGTGTTATTGCATAAGTTGAGGTATGGACCCAGTGCCAGTGAGTTGAGGTATGGACCCAGGATCTGTAGATCCTCAGAGAAGGGGATGCTTGAGCTGATACTGAAGGACAAATGCAGTCGGGTAGGTAAAAGGAGGCAGGTATTCCCCACCTGTTCATCCTCTAATTTATAATACAGGTGATACCAGCCTCTCCTACAGGGGCTAAAGTCCTAGTCTAAAAAGTTTAAATAGATCATTTCAGTGATAAACTCTAAGCAATATGCAAAGTGAATTAAAACTAAAAATTAAATCCAAATTGCTGCTCTGAATTTAAATTTTAGGCTTTTTCTTTGCAAATGAAATACATAATTCTTAAAGCATTAGTGTATACATAATTGCATCATAGCTGATGAACTCTCTCCTACCTGGACCAAAAGTGATTCAGCCTGTACTTTTGCAATGAGTGATGAAGAAACTTCCAGATGGAGAGGTTTAATTTGCGAGATTTTCCCTAGTCTATTCACATTGGCTTTAACTTCCATTTTAAATTACAGAGAGAATTCCCAAAATTTCAAAGAGCCCCAAGAGATCTGGTGAAACAGCTAATCTCTTTCTAGGAGCATGCTAACAAAAGCAATTTCTTACTGAGCTATATGCTGCCCAGTGGGACTGATAATGAATCTGCATTATGGTAACCTTTATAAGAAGGGAAGATAAGAAGACCTTTTGGGGAGGTGTATTTATTAGGTGGCGAATGTGTCTTTCCGCCTGTGGATTCTTCTGTTTAGATCCACTACTCACTCAACTATGCCAAGAAAGACCTTCTGTCCTCCTGCTTTCAGCAACTCCTCTGAATTTATAGCATCCACTCTATTACATACCATGATGTCAGTAAATAGTCAACAGCAATATGCTGCACCTTTTTAGTGTTCAATTTCTCTCATTTTGGAAAGGCATTAGATTTGCATAGCTGACTGCAGGCTTTATACTAATTTCCCTCTAAGATTTATAAAGAGCTCATACTTGTTAGCACAGATACTGTGTTTGTTTATAAACTGGAAAAGGGGAGGGAAAGCTTGTACACTGTCAGCCAAATATAAAGAAAAAGCATTTACTGGGAGTCTCCTACAGAGGGCAGCTTCACCTTATTGGAAACCCATCTGAAAGAGAAACTCGGTGGTTACTGAGAAATAACTAAATCTTAAAGTCAGAAAGCACTCCCTTGTTTTTGCTAAACCAGCTTACTGCTCTATGGTATCTTTGTTACCTTATCTTTAATGGAAAAGAATTGGCACCCACTGTATAATCATTCATAGATACAGGCCAGTAACACAACCTTATTATTATGTTCAGCTTGCCTGTGGGTGAGCTGGAGACAGCTGTTCATATTACCTAAGAGGCAACAGATCAATGAAAGGAAGGGAAGGACAAGTTTTGAACTGCCTTTTTGCAACAATGTCCTTTATACAACAGAGGGTATTTTTAAAGCATTGTATCAGAAAACAAAGGCTGATAATAAAGTGTTTATGAAACAAACTTTTGCTGTGTTGTTATGATTATTAAATGCTTTTTAGATTAAAATCACTTACATAGAAACAAAAAGTATTTAAGCTTTGGATACCAAAACTACTATGAGTTATAGGCTATAAATCTAAGGAAGTAATTGCTATTTTGAAAATTCTGAAAATAGGCATGTGTGCATGGGTGTTGTAAAGAAATTTCTTTGAAACTGTTTTTGTGTGTCTAAATAACTACGAAAAGACATTTTATTGATCATATGGTAAATGAAATTATCAAACTATAAAAATATAAGTATCTTTTCATAGAAAATATGATTTTTAAAACTGAACAGAGTAAGTACAGTTCATATTTAGAGGACTTTAAATACAGCATTGCTTGTTGTTGATTTTGAATGTCTTATGCTTTATGATGGCTAATCAAATTAGCATACATAAATCCAGTATGTATAAACATCACTCTGTATGTTTGCTTTTGACTGTTGCTGATTGGAAGCTTCTTTTGGATATTCAACAAGTAGTAGTCAGATTTATGAGGACATTCTGATTAAGAAAAGCTATCAAGAAACTGATGATGATTATTTCTAAATATTAAGATTAAAACCAACATTGAAAACAGGAGTTTCTTTCTTTATATTTGCATATAAAATGCTTTTGTTTAGTTACTGAATGCATCATCAAATACCTACTATATTTACAATGAAGTTTATCAGTTATAATTATTAATTCTGTTTTTTCATATTCTGTGCTCAGAAGTAACTAAACTTCTAAATGTTACTCTTGGCATATACTGTTTGGGAACACTTTAGTTCTCCTTTAAGATAAACTTGAAATAGACCACAAATAAATGTAAATGAGCTTTAGCTATTAAAATTAGTTTGATCTTATGTCTTTTTTAATAACTTATGTGGTCCAAGTCCAGAGCTTTCTATTGACATTAGGACAAAAATTCAGATTATTGTAAATTTTAATTCTTCTTTAGTAATAGTTATTAATTTATCAATCAGATCACTTAACATCAAAGTATAATAAAGAGTTGCCTGGAAAGTATGTCCTTAAATTTATGTACACAGTGTTATCAATGTGTTTCAAAATCAGTTAGTTTCTGTCGGAAAAAAGACCCATTTCTTATTCGACTGTGTTGGTAGTCTTGTTCTAGAAAATACCTAAAGTAAGGCCCTAATCACCTGCCCAGGCATTCCTGTCACATTGTTGACATTTCCTGGTGTTCCGTGGTTTCTCCCGCTCTGTGGCATTCCAGAGCTCAAGGCACTTCTTTGAAGATATAAGGCCATTCAAGTCTTCTCAACTTTGCAGCTTCACTCTAAAGGGAGAATGAATGAAAAAGCCGTGAAGTTCAGACAGTTTAAATGGGGCAGCAGGAGGGCATGGCATTGCTCTGTTGGGAATTGCTTGTGAGCGATCCTTGAATCATCTCTTGGAAAAGTAGAGTGACCTTTCTTTAGGATTAAAAAAAAGGATAGGAGAAAGAGGCTGTCTAGTCCTCTGTGGAAAAGCAAACCAAGTCTGGTAAGATACTAGAGAAAAGTAATATATTTACAAGATCAATTGCTGGTTCAATGCCTGATTCTGCATAGCACTTCAACAGGCAACTTTCACTGGTGGATGCTGCCATATTCTGGGCTTTCCAGGCGGCTGAGTGGTAAAGAACCCGCCTGCCAGTGCAGGAGACACGGGTTTAATTCCTGGGCTGCGAAGATCCCCTGGAGAAGGAGATGGCATCCCACTCCAGTATTCTTGCCTGGGAAATTCCATGGACAGAGGAGCCTGGCAGGCTACAGTTTATGGGGTTGCAAAGTCAGACAGACACAAGTTAGCAACTGAGCAGGCATGCATGCTGCCATGTCTAACCTAAGGAAACCAGGGGTAGTCACAGAAACCAAGGAACCCCAGGGCTTTTGCAGTTTGACTAACTTTCTAATATCACGTACTGGTTAAGTATTTCTCAAGATCCTAAAATCTTGTTCCTAAAACAAAGTATTTCTCCAATTCCTGTCTAGAAGTCTCCCTTCTAATCATGAGGCACTGCAGTGCATAAGCACATACATCTAAGCATCCACTGAGAAGACATTTCCTGGCTCTGTAGACCTTACAGAAATGCATTATACAGGGGGTAGAGATAGGTAGAGAAGCATTGGTCTAGATCCAAAGGTCAGTCTATTATTTTCTCAGTTCCCTTATACATGAAATGAAAAAATGCTTTTTTTCCTCTGCTTACATCAAAATAGTCTCCTTCGAGGATAGCCGGGGGAAAAAATAATGAGGATTTGAATCTTATATCTGTCTTAAGCCTCAATTCCTGTGAGTATAAAGGGAAGCTCTCATATTTTGCTAATTGTCAGTTTCCAAGATCAGAGATGGGTACAATGGGCTGGGGGTGAGAGGCTGCCCTTACTGGGAATGTCCTGAGGCTGCCTCTGAGCTCTGAGGGGAAAAGCAGAGAACCAACTGTGATGGTTTCCGGAAGAGGAAACCATGGTCATTGGGAGAGGAAATGATGTGATGAATTCTATAATCCAAGGATTTGCAGATTCCCCTAACACAAAATTTCAATAATGTTATAGTCAAGAGATGCAACTGAGATAATAATATGAAATTCTGATCAGCATGAATATCTTTTTCTTCTTACATCCCCAGTGGCCTATACAAAAAATAAATGAGTTTTGTTATGAATATTAAAGTGATGGCAGTGTTAAACCAAAACTATACAAATAATTGCTTATACTCTCTGCTTACTCACATTTGGGAAGCAGAGTTTCACACACGAACTTACTTTTTCTCATCATCTGTAGCAGCGCTTCAGAGTATAAAGAAAAAAGAAAATGTTGGTCAGTCGTGTCTCTTTGCAACCCCATGAACCGTATCCTACCAGGTTCCTCTGTCCATGGGATATTCAAGGCAAGAATACTGGGAGTGGGTTGCCATTCTCTTCTCCAGGAGATCTTCCTGACCCATACATCAAATCCAGGTCTCCTGCATTGCAGGCAGACTCTTTATCATCGGAGCCACCAGAGAAGCCCCCTTTAAAGTATATTTTCATTTATATTTTCAGTCTTGATGCAGACTCCTCAATGAATCCCAAATGACTAAAAAAAGAAAAGGTTCCTTATGGGGCTCAGATGCAAACCTTTGTTATAGGACTAAGATTATCTTTCCCAGCTCTTTGAAACCCAATTTATTAGCATTTCTAGATTTTTGCCTCAAGAATTTTTCTAACTTGATGGCATATTAGAACAGAAAT